GAGGAATGGGACTTGAATTCAGCATCCAAGGCAGATGTTCCAGGCATTAAGAGCAGAGAAAGAACCAGCAGGCTGATTTCAAAGGGAGTGTGAGAGGGTACGGTCAGAGGCTTAGATGAGAAAGGAGACCCTTGGAAGAATGGAAGGGGTCCCCGCTCTGGCTTGAGGTCAGAAAGGGCTCTCTGGGCAGGGTGCCTAACCCTCCCACACCTTCCTTCTTTCTCAGAAGAGCCACATGGGGCGGGGATGGAGGAGCTGGGGCAGGGTGGGGGCCTTTTTAAGGAGCTCCTTCCCAGAGCATGACTGCAGATCCAGCCCCAGAAACGCCAGAGAGGAGGCTTCATGGGTAAGTGCTGCCCTCTACTTGGGATTCAGTGGGGCTGGGGGCAGGGCTGCCAGCCTGGCTTTCCTTCTTTCTCCAGGGATAGGCTGCACCTTTGCCCTGTGAGTGAGGACAGCACTCAGCTGTCGATTTAACTCTCCAGAAAATGAAAGTGTGTTTCAGGGAAATCTTTCAGCTATCCCAAACACTTAAAGATCTTCATTCAGGTGAGAGGTTTTGTGGAAGCAGCACTTCTGAACTCCTATCTTGGAGATCCCTATTGGCTCTAGAAGCCTCCCTGTTTGAAGATATACCCTTCTCAGAATACATATTCTGGCACTTTCCCCAGGCCCTCAACTCTTCAGCCAGGAGATGATATCTGGACTGGAGATGACAGGACCGAATATGTGAAACCCAGGCTCTGGGGGACAGAATCACTGCTATGGCCCTGAGCCCCCTCCCCTCATACCCTACTCCAGTTCCCAATGGAATTTGGGAACCATTGTCCATTTCCCTTGCTGTGATCTCCCATTTTCAGCTCCAAGCTCAGCACCCCTCAACCCTGAGTAGAAAGTATCTTGAGATTCCAGGTTCTACCCTGGGTCTCTACTTGCTCGTATGGGGAAAAATTCATACAAGGAAGCAAGGGAGGATAGCATGCAGGCAGAGAGAACTTTGGCCACTTGGCTCTGAGAACTGAATTCCATAGGCCATGAGCTCTAGCAAATGCCCTAGGTACTCAGTTCTGGTGCCCGGCTGTGCCACACCATCAATGCCAAGACCATGGGGGTATCTATGGCTCCAGCTCACACCATTCCAGACAAGTGCTCTTGTAGGCACCCTTCCTGTCCACTGACTAAATCTTATTAACTGTGACTTGGTCTACACTTCTACTCAAAGATTCAATGACTCTCCAAGTCTTTTTACCGTTAACAGCTTGAATGGTATGACCTCCACTTAGCTTTGGAGCCTAATCTTCCATTGCTGTTGCCCTCCAATAAGACTGCTGCTTTCTGCTCCTGCCAACATGCTTTTGCTCCTGCTGGACCCTTCCTTGGTTTTTGAGACGCTTCTTTCCCATCACTATCTGTTGGAATCCTATATATATCCTTCAAATCCCCTCTTAGATGTCTTTTCAATAAGCTTCTTTCAGGTTGGGGTTGTGGCTCCATGGTAGAGTGCTTGCCTAGCATGTGTGAAGCACTGAGTTCAATTCGCACCACATGTAAATAAATGAATAAAATAAAGGTCCATCAACAAATATATATATATATATATATATATATATATATATATATATATATATACACACACACACACACACACATACGTATACATACATACATACATACATATGTATATTTAAAACAAGAAGCTTCTTTCTTTCAACTCCCCAACAGAAAGCAAATTACCCACACTCCTCCCCAGTAAGGCTGGGTTCAGGAGCTCCCTACTTCATAGTATTTACCCTAGTGTTCTGCAAATAGTAGTTCCTTAATAAATGTTCTTTTGTTTTGTTGAGTGTGTCTCATGTGTGAAGAGACGATCTGACCTAGACGTTAAGACCTATCAGATACAATCTTGGTACATTCTCAATGTATAACTGGGTAAGTCGTTAATATCTATGGGCTTCAGTTTCCTCATCTGTAAGTGGAAATAATAGTTATGTGTACATCGAAGTTTTGTGAATTTTAAACTTAATGGGTTGGTAATTTCTGCATGGAACTTAAGCATAGTTGGTACATAGAAGTTCTCAGTGTGTGAGGTTATGATTCTTATTCTTTTCCCTTAAGTAGAATGAGAGCTATCCAAAGGTAAGGGCAGTTGTGGCCTGGAGTAGGGCTTGAAATTTGTCAGTCAGGTCTTCCATGCTCGGCTGAGTAAGTCTGGGTCAAGACTAGCAGGATGAGACCATCAGGATCAGCGCTTGGTAACCCAGGCTGAGATCTGGGAGCTCTGGATTCCCACCTATTATTGTATGACCATGGGTGAATCACTCCCTCACTCAGGCCCTACTTTCCTAGCATAATGTAAATTTAGAGGGTTGAAGCATATGAATAGCAAAGTGTTTTATGAGTTCTGCACTTCTAAGGGTTAAGTTCAAAGAAAAGATCAAACAAGAAAGCATTCAGGTTTCCTGCAGGCTGTACATCCACAGGGCTGGGAGTGAGGTGGGATGCTGGATTGCATGGAGGAGCAGCACCTCTTTCTAAAAGCTTGTAGTCAGGGTCCTTCCTCCCTTACCTTGGCTGGGGATAGGGGTAAATTTATGTGCAGCCAGGGGCATTTCTGAGACTAAGTAGAAGACAGGGAGGAATATCTATGAGCAATGTAGATCCTCAAAGATGGGGAGAAATGCTGGGGATATAGCTCAGTTGATAAAATGCTTGCTTTTCATGCACACCACCCTGCTTCAATCTCCAGCATCACACAAACACACACACACACACAAAATGGCGGCGGGGGGGGGGGATTGAGAACCTGCAAGTACTTGGACCCAAGAAGACAGAGAGGGAAGGGAATACAAACCACAGTTTAATGGTGTGAGGCTCACCATTTTTTGAAACCTGAATTGTTTAAAAAGGGGATTTGAGGAGCTGGGGTTGTGGCTCAGTGGTAGAGTGCTCACCTCACACATGAGAGACCCTGGGGTCGATCCTCAGCACCACATAAAAGAAATAAATAAACAAAATAAAGATATTGTGTCCATGTATAACTAAAAAAATATATAAAAAAAATAAAAAAAGGAATTTGAAAAGGCTTACCAACATGCAAACAATTCTCCAAGCTTAGAAAATCAAAGCAGGCTGGGCATGGTGGTATATTCCTATAATCCCAGTGGCTCTGGAGGCTGACTCAGGAGGCTGATGCAGTAGGATCACAATTTCAAAGCCAGCATCAGCAATTTAGCTAGGTCCTAAGCAATTAAGTGAGACCCTGTTTTGAAATAAAATATAAAAAAGGGCTGGTGCAACTGGGGTTATAGCTCAGCGGTAGAGCACTTGCCTCGCACATATGAGGTACTGGGTTCCATCCTCTGCACCACATAAAAAATAAATAAATAAATACATAAAATGAAGATTTTTGTGTCCATCTTTTAAAAAACCTTTTTTTTTTTAAAGGGTTAGGCATGTGAATCAGTGGTTGAGTGCCTCCAGATTCAATCCCTAGTACCCACCCCACTTCCCAAAATAAATTAAAGCAGCCAGGTACAGTGGTGCATGCTTGTAATTTCAGCAAGTTGGGAGGCTGAGGCAGGAAGATTGCAAATTAAAGGATAGCTTCTGCCATCTTAGCAAGACCCTGTCTCCTGGATTCAGTTCCCACTACCAAAGTATCAGTGACCTAGGTATGTAATACCTCTATTTTTTAAAACTCCTTTTTTTTAAAAAAAAATTTTTTTTAGTTGTAGATGGACACAATACCTTTATTTTATTTATTTATTTTTATGTGGTGCTGAGGATTGAACTAGTGCCTCGATACATGCTAGGCAAGCGCTCTACCAGCCCCAGCCCAAAACTCCTTTTTTTTTCTTTTTTGAGAGAGAGAGAGAAAGAATTTTTTTAATATTTATTTTTTTTAGTTCTCGGCGGACACAACATCTTTGTTTGTATGTGGTGCTGAGGATCCAACCCAGGCTGCATGCATGCCAGGTGAATGCGCTACCGCTTGAGCCACATCCCCAGCCCGAAAACTCCTTTTTTTAATATTTATTTTTAAGTTGTAGTTGGACACAGCACCTTTATTTATTTATTTTTATGTGGTGCTGAGGATCAAGCCGACCACCTCACATGTGCAAGGCAGGCGCTCTACCACTGAGCCATAACCCCAGCCCTTAAACCTCTTTTTTATATTTTAACTCTAAAAATATCAGTTTAGTTTTGTTGTGGTGATGTTTTTTGTTTGTTTGTTGGTTTTTTTTTTTTTTTCAGTACTGGGGACCAAACTAGGGTCTCACATTTGCAAAGAAAGTACTCTACCAGAGGGTTGTGGCTAAGTGGTAGAGTGCTTGCTGAACATGCATGAGGCACTGGGTTCGATCCTTAGAACCACATAAAAATAAACAAAATAAAGGTATTGGGTCCATCTACAACTAAAAAAATATATAAAAAAAGAAAGTACTCTATCATTGGAGTGCATCCCTAGTCCTATTAGTTTTTAAAATATTTTATTTATTTATTTCAAAATCTTTTATTTGTTTGCTTAATTTTTAGTATTGGGGATTGAACACAAGGGTGCTTAGCCACACTGAGCCACATTTCCCACACTTTTTGTTTTTTATTTTTGAGACAGGGTATCACTAAGGTGATAAGGCTGGCTTTGAACTCATATTCCTCTTGTCTCAGCCTCCAGAGTCACTGGGACTGCAGGCATGTACCAGTGCACTGGAACTTTTGGAGATTATATATATATATATATATATATATATATATATACATACATACACATACATACATACATACATATATATTTAACTTTTATTTTTTAGTTGTTGATAGACACAATAACCTTTATTTTATTTTTATGTGGTGCTGAGGATTGAACCCAGTGCCTCATGCATGCTAGGCAAGCACTCTACCTCTGAGCCACAACCCCAGCCCCTGGACATATATGTTCTTTTTTTTTTTTTTTTTTTTTTGGTACCAGGTATTGAACTCAGGGGCACTCAACCACTGAGCCACATCCCCAGCTCTATTTTGTATTTTATTTAGAGACAGGGTCTCATTGAGTTGCTTAGCACCTCACTTTTGCTGAGACTGGCTTTGAACTTGCGATCCTCCTGCCTCAGCCTCCCAAGCTGCTGGGGATTACAGGCATGCACCCTTGCACCCAGCTGGAAATAAATATTCTTTAAAAACATTTTTTTTTTAGTTGTTGTTGGACACATACCTTTATTTTATTTATTTTTATGTGGTGCTGTGGATTGAACCCAGGGCCTCGAACGTGCTAGGGAAACGCTCTACCGCTGAGCCATAACCCCAGCCCCTATTCTTCTTCTTCTTCTTCTTTTTTTGTGATATTTATATCTTAGTTGTAGTTGGACACAATACCTTTTAGATTTATTTATTTATTTACTTATATGTGGGGCTGAGGATCGAACCCAGGGCCCCACATGTGCTAGGTGAGCACATTGAGCCACAACCCCAGCCCTGGAAATATATATTCTCAAGAAAAATTAATAGGGGGCTTCAGAAGTAGAATGCTCACCTACCATGCGTGAAGCACTGGGTTTGATCCTCTGCACTACATAAAAATAAAATAAAGCTATTGTGTCCACCCATAACTAAAAAATACATACTAAAAAAAGTTAAAAAATTAATAGGGAAAAAATATTTCTGAAAGAGAAAGTATCTTGTAGGGTAAAGTAATACTTTTGTCTTGAAACCCAAAATGATTTCTTTGTCATTTTTATTGACTTATTTATTTAGGCTATACTGGGGACCAAACCTAGGGCCTCACACATGCCAGGTAAGTGTTCTACACTAAACCACTATGCTAAAACACTAATCCTTAGCCTCAAGTCCACAATGAAAGAAAAGACAAAACTAAGGATATAAACAAGTTATAAAATGTCGAAGTAAGTTACATAAGGTTTATGAAAGGTAAATCTTGAAAAGTTTGTGTGTGATTAAGTTGACTGTAATTGGCACAAAGTTACTTAGGTTCCCCCCCACATGGTCAAATTTTAATATACTGATATAGAACAAAGTCTAATCCTCTGTGTTTAAAAACAACAAGGGTTCCTTAAAACACTGATCTGCTCCATGTCTGCTTTGAGCATAGTCCTTGCTACCCTGCACCACTGCATCATATTTTAAAACTGACATTTTTTTTCTTTCTCTTTTCCTTAACCTTGAAGGAAGGAAAATTACATTTTTTCCCATTCTAGGCCAAGTTGTCTATCCTTGGACACACACACTACAAGAATAAAATAATTCAGACTTCAGTAGTGTCAAAAGATCTAAAAAATGGCTATTTCTCAAAACTACAAATAATTTATGACCCTGAATAGGGCACAATTGGAATGTAGCCATTGAATCACCTCTTTAAGGACACATTGTTCCCTTGGTAGTGTCACCATGTTTCTCCTTTGCTAACAAAAAGACCAAAACTTCACAAAGTTGATAAATCCAGTCACAAAAATATGATCATATACATATTGTTACATAAAATATGAAATATTCAAATTATTAAATAAAATGATTGTATTCATATTATGACTATATTCATATGTTATTGTTATCAGCAAAAATTGACTAATTGTCTTTATTAAAGACAAACTTTATTTGACTATGTTCAGTTGAATATTTTAAAGAGATTTTTAACCATCAATTAAAAAAAAAAGACAACCCAAAACTTTCCTTTTTACTCAAAACCTTGTCTTCATTATTGGACTGATATTAAGGACAAAGCAAAGACTGAGTTTTCCAAAACATTATCTATCAAGATAATTTCTTGTGTCTATTAGGTTTAAAATCAAGTGTGTTTTTACTCTTACTAATTTCACTTTGTAACTACTACCTGTTAGTATTTTGCAAAAGTACTACTTCTAACCAGAATAACCTGAATTAAGACAATAAGGCATCACCTCCAGGACAGATAGGATATCTGACTTGCAGTACTGATACAAATCCCAATTAAATGGGAAGAGTAATTGTAAAATTAGAAATCCTAAAGTTAAAACCCATTACTCCCATTTCAAGAATGGTGAAACTGGCCTGCTGGATGTTTAAAACCAAAACTTGGAGACCAAAGTCAAAGAAGTTAAAAAGTCTAAAGAAAATGCAATCAATATTTTGGCCCATGCCCTCTAAGGTCAACCAGGATCCAGGGAATGATGGGAACCCTTTAAAGCCCCTTAACTCCAGTGAGTCACCCAACCTTCAAATCAGGAGGATTGTGAGAACCCTAGAGAACAGGAAGTCAACCAGTGCACATTCTGTAAAGAGGGTCATTGGAGAGAGAAATGTCCCAATGCTTCTAAGGGAAGCCATATGTGGTCAGGAAGACTCTGACTTTATCCTGGCAGATGGCATGACCAGTAGGAGAAAGCTAAAGGAGTGCTGGAGATATAGCTCAGTTGGTAGAGTGCTTGCCTTGCATGCACAAGGCCTGGGTTCAATCCCTAGCACCACCACCACACATACACAAAAAAACTAAAGGAGCCAAGGTCTGAAGATCCCTGATAAATCTCTGCTGACTCTTAGCAGGAGATAGAAAAACAAGGTCAATTTTGACCAATTTGGTCTTAAACACCTGGCAGGAAAGTATAACCAAAGCACAGTGTTTAAAAAAAGGCAATGGCTCTTTTAATGCAACTTGAGATGTGTACTTGGGTCAGTCCTCCCAAAAGTAAATGAAACTGGAAGGCTATAATGAAAGTGTTCTTATACAGGAGTACCTGACACTGCCAGAGTCCCAAGTTTGTTCTGAATCAAATGATTTGAGATTTACAAATCTTCCTAACCTCCTACATAGGTAAGCTCCATATGATATGATTAGCTAGCCCTGATATTTTGACCTGATTGGTCTAAAAGATGAATGTGACAAGTCAAAGTCCTAACTTTACCAACAGCATTCTAAGTGACACAGCTAAAGGGATCCTTCAACTAACACAAAAATAATGCCAATAAAAAAGCTCAGCCTAGGCCCTTCCTCTTCTTGGGACGGCCGCGCTCCGCGGCTTCCCGGGCTGGGCTGCTGCTGTCACCGCTATTGGGCCGTCGCAGTACGCGCCTCTCCACCCGGTACTCCGGCTGGCCGACGCGCGGCGCCGCCTGCAGCAGGAACTCGCCGCGGCTGTGGGTGACGCGCACGTAGGTGCGCGGATACGTGCCGTACACTCGCCGCAGTTCCCGGCACACGAAGTCGGGCAGCTGCAGATCCTGGCCGTGCGTGCGTTCCACGCGGCCCCATCGCAGTTCGGCTTGCACATTGCCACCCTCGGGCCACGGCGCCCAGCTCTCGGCTGCGGATTCCTGCAGCGACGGCCTCAGGAGGCGGGCGGCAGGGGCCGGCGAGCTAAGGGCGGCGGCGTAGGCTGCTGGGAAGGCCCACCAGGGTGGAGTGGCGGCAGGAGATACGCTCGGGCGGTAAAAACAGTGGTATTCTCGCGGGGCCGCCCTCTCTCCCACGCACAAGCTCGCTGGCCGGCTGCAGAAGTTGTGGGCCTGGATGGGAGGCAGCAGCAGAGGGGCGGGCAGGTAGGTGTAGGTGAGGGGCTGCAGCGGAGGCCAGGCACTCTCCCCGCGCGGCAGGCAGACGTAAGAGTACATGGTGTGAACCTCAGGCAGCAGGCCTTTTCACTGGGGCTCCATTCTGGTTCAGACCTGTGGCGGGGCGGTGTTTGGATATAGATTTAATTCTTACTGTCACCCGGAACCCTGGGCTCTCCTTTCTGGCAGGAGCCTCACTTGCCTACCTCAAGGCTTTGGAGGATCGCCCTAAATCAGGTGTTGAATTCTCCTCCTCCTCCCATCTTGTCCCAGGTTTGGGCCTGAACCCCAGGCTTTCAGCAGGCCTTAAGGACCCTAGACCTTTTTAAGCCCTCAAACCCTGGCGTGCCCTTTCAATAACTTCACACTCACTTGTCTCCTTCACCCTGGGGAGGTTAGTCTCCAGCATTTGGGGTAGCCAGAGGGTTCCAGCAGGAGGCTTCTCTCCACCACTTGTTAGTTGCAGCTGCTCCCCGCCATACCCTGCCTCACTCAGCCACACCTCCCTGTTACCAGGCAAAGGGAAACACCTTGAACTGGCTAGGAGCCTGCCAGTTTGTCTACACCTGGGTGAGCGTAGGGTCACAGTGGCTCCAAGCTGGAAGCAGTGGCCTGAGCTCAGGGATGCCCACCTACAATATCATTGAAGCCTTCTTCTTTTTTTGATCAAGTTTGCTCCCCCTCCAAAAAAAAGAAGTTTGCTCCCCATCCCCTAGCCCCTCCAGTGGATTGGGTTCTCCTAACATCTGAGTGAAGCTCCTGCACACTAGGACCTTCCTGCATTGAATTTTGCTTGTGAGCATCTGACTTCAAGTTGATATCAACTCTAGGAAGGTGCACTTAACATAGCAAGGAATTATAGATACACAATAAAAGTGTTGACCAGGACTTATAAAGGTTAAATGACTTGCCCAGACTCATTTATGGTAAAGGCAAAATTCTACCCTACATCTGTCTCAAGACTCATGCTCACAATATTAGTCTTTTTTTTTTTGTACTGGGTATTGAACCCAGGGGCACTTTACCACTGAGCTATGTCCCAGCCCTTTTTTATTTTTTAGTTTGAGATGGGATCTCACTAAGTTGCTGAGGGTCTTGCTAAGTTGCTGAGGCCGGCTTCTGTAGGAAGCCATTCATGAAATACGTGAGAATCTTCTCTGGCATGAAGCCAGGGAGATTTAGATTTGGCCTTGGGAACCATCTGTCACTCTCCCATAGCAATAGATTGCCCAATGCACGTGACCTTTATCTCTGGTCTGCTAGGAAGATCCCCCATAGTAGCTCTGGAGATGGGTGTAACCCTTTGGGAACTGGACAGCCCACCTTTAACCTTTTTTGATGAAGAACATTCTATGGAAGGCCTTTGATATTTCCCAATATAAATAAAGCAGGCACAGGCTCCATTTTGCCATAGTATAGAAGCTCCATCCGCTTGCCCGTCCTCCCCCACCCCTGGCGCCCCAATTTTGAAACTATTTTCTGTGTCCTTTGTTTTTTTCCATTCTATATTTTTTCTAGCTTTTATTTCTCAGCCAGCCTTTTCCACCAAGGGGAACCCCATTTCCATGGCCCTTGCGGGATGTGGGCGAGAGGCTTCAAACATACCATCCTCCTACCTCAGCCTCCCAGAATCAAATGAGATCAGGCATGTAACACTGTGCCCAGCACAATATTAGTTTTATTGCCAATCCATGCTGGAACTGCTTTCAGACTATCTCACAATCCCTCTCACTGTAGAATATTACACAAGCACTTGTAATTCTTCATAGCCATGTGAAGAACAGATTGACATTCTCATTTAATAGCTAAGGAACCCTGCATGGTTGCGCACACCTGTAATCTCAGAGGCTCGGAGGTTGAGACAGGAGGATTGTAAGTTCAAAGCCAGCTTCAGCAACAGTGGGACACTAAGCAACTCAGTGAGACCCTGTCTCTAAATAAAATACAAAATAGGGCTGGGAATGTGGCTCAATGGTTGAGTGCCCCTGAGTTCAAAACCTTTCAATACCTGGTATCAAAAAAAAAAAGCTAAGGAACCAGAGGCTCAGAGGAGGCTACTTTCCCAGGATCACACAGATTAAAAGCAGCAAAGTGAAAATTGAACTCAGCCCAACTGATGCCAAAGCCTACAGGCCACTTGGATAAAGCCAGAAAGATTGCTTCTGATGGCATGAGTACTGTGAGCTCCAGTCCCCTGTGATAGTGGGTTCACCTATTTTTCTGGTGGGGTGAGTGGTCATTATGAATGATTAAAACTGATACCCAGCTTGGGGCTGCTATGCTATCACTTTCTCCCCACTTTTCTATTGACTTAAGCAGCATAACCAGCTTGAGTATCCTTCAAAACCCAGCCACTCCCTGGGAAGATCTCCCACAGTCACCCTGGCAATGTTACATTAGTCCTAACTAAGCTCCTCTCCCAAGTCTAATTTTGGCCAGTGGCCTAGTGAAGACAGCTGCTGAGGTCAGTATCTGAATAGAGAAAAGGGACTTGGCTAGGGTTTCATTTGGAATCTACCTAATACTCCCTACCCTACAGCTTCAAGACAGAGCCTTGCTCTCTGTCCACTCTAAGGACTCATCCTAGGGAGACAGTGGTCCTTTTGGGTGAAGCCTTCTATGGTAGGTAGAATAATGCCTGTCCCCCAAAGATGTCACTAATTTCATCCCTGGAAACCTATGAATTCGGCAAGTGGGAGTTAAGGTTGCAGATGATGTTAGGGTTGTGAGTTAGCTCACCTAAGAAGATTATCCTGGATTATCTAATGGTCCCAGTGTAATTACAGGGGCCCTTAAATGTGAAAGAGGGAGGCTAAAGAGTCAGAGTGACGACATGTAAAAAAGACTTGACCAGTCATTTCTGGCTTTGAAGATGGAATGGGCTCATGAGCAAGGAATGCAGGCAGCCTCTCGAAGCTGGAAAGGGTAGGAAAATAGATCCACCCAGACAGACTCTAGAAAGGAATACATTGGCTGGGGTTGTGGCTCAGCAGTAGAGCGCTCACCTAGCATGAGCAAGGCCCTGGGTTCAATCCTCAGCACCCCACAAAAATAAAATAAAGATATTATGTTCAACTACAACTAAATTTTTTTTTTTAAAAAAAGAAATGAATACAGTCATGTCAATACCTTGATTTTAGCCAACAAGATAAATTTCAGACTTCCAGCCTCTAGAACTGTAAGCTAATAAATTTGTTTTAAGCTGTTAAATTTGGTAATTTGTTACAACAGCAATAGGAGACTAATATATAATACCCCACTCCAATTTGTATAACTTTCCCTCCCCTAAAATCCTAGCACTCAGAGTGTCCAAGGCTACACTTGGACTAACCTCAACCCAGCCTTGAGATCAGTGACAGTCCAGTGAGACTGGCCAGTTTTCCCACCTGTTCTCAATCGCCCAAGAGAATGTAGTCACATTTTGGTGAGGGGTGGGGCTCATGCATGACCAAGCTCAAGTAGAGCCTGGGATGGTGAGGAACCTGCATTTTAATTGTGGTCCCTACATTCCTGCTGAAGATTTCTGCTGATCTGGGAAGGATGTTTTCAGGCAAAACAAGAAAAATAAGGATCAAGCTGTGAGTTTCTCAGTGAATCCTTCACCCTGATTCCAGTAACAGCCCCCTTATTTTTGGAGTCACCCACTGGTTCTCAAATGGTTCTGGTGGAGTTGATTATTCTGTCCATAAGTTTTCGGTGATTTAGGACTAAGTGAATCAGCCCTGCCATCCCGCTGGCCATAGTTTAGGCTGGCCAATATGAGCCAAACCCAGAGCTTTGTTCCTTTATTCCTTGGAGGAAAGTTCTTTCTTCCTGAACAGAAATCTGAAATAATGCATTCTGGGCCATGGGGGGAAGGCTTCCTGAGTGTGGAACCTAGATCAGAGAGGTAGGAAACTAGGGGAGCGGATAATTTCTTCAAATATAGTGTGTATCCATTTTTTGTAGTTACGGGAAATCCAATATGTTTCAAGGAATCAGGCAGTGATGTGGCCTGTGACACCTGAAGTCCCCTCCTAGTTTTCTCTGTGCTTGACAACCAGGAAGAGGAATAAGAGATAATAACAAGGTAAAAGGTTACATTGTTGAAATCAGAAGGCTAAGGGACCTCAGAATGTAACCACGGGGCATTAAATGCAACATGAAGGATCCAAGGTCTATCCTTTTCTTCTTCCCCCCAAAGTTTCACATATTTACTAGCAAACCAACCCAACCACTACTACAAAAGCTTCATAGCTAAAAAATAAAATTACATTCCCAGTTAAATATTCTCCACCATCTAGACAGTGGTAACATTTTCAATTTGATGTGACAAGATGATCATAACCTTTATATATCATAACCTTTATACGCATAAACGTGTGCCATTTCTTGTGTAATTCCTTACAGACCTAACTTGGTTCTCCCCCAATGTCTCCTCTTGGAGCTGTACCTGATTTTATTACACTGTTCATTCAAATACATTGAAGAATGGAACAGTTTTGGTTTTGTTTCTTGGCCAGGAATTACTTAATTTTAAATCTCATGAGAAGATACAGCGAGGAACTGAGTCAAGTGCACACACCACAAGGCTGAAAAATCCAAGTTCTCTCATAGAGATTATCTCTTATCAGTCTTCCCCATCCCACCATTTCCCTACTGGACTCCCAGGGAGGGTTAAGGAAAGACTCAGGGTTTGCTTTGAAATAAAGGCATACACTAGCCAGAGATGGAAGGGCAGGGGAAATTCCCTTAGCAAATTTACAAGGGACGTAGTGTGCCAAACCTACAATGAATGCTGAAATTTAGCTCTCTGTCTTCATAGCCAGGAAAGCATAGAAGGAGGTGAGGGGTGGGGAGAGGGAAGAATTGATCATCTTTCTTCTAGTCATGAGGGCATTCTGGAAGAGGGCTTTCAGCAGTCACTTAAGTCTAAAAAGTGTGTGTGTGTGTGTGTGTGTGTATGTGTGTCTGTCTGTCTATTTATCTGTCTCTAGGAGAGTATATAGGTTCAGTTTGATGTGACTGCAGCCATCTTGAGTTGTAACTGTCATGACTGCCCCAGAGTAGCCCTAGTTGGCTTTTTCTGCACGCCTCTCAGCAAAGTATAAACAGACAAACAATTAGAGTGGTATGTGGAGCGTTAAAAAACTGGACCCTGGCACCAGGAATATGCCTTATACTAGCTTAAGATAAGCTTAAGATATGCCTAGAATGAGGTCATCTTTGTTCTAAAATTATATACATCCTTCCTTCTGACCCAAATTTCAGGGGTTCAACTGGTTTATTACTGACATTTCAGTCAATAAGTCCTTGAATAAACAACACTCTGAAATTCTGTATCTGTCTGCCTTTTTTAATCCTAGGGTACCTTGGGCCTGGGCCTCATACACTAGGACTGTGTTGTTTTGGAAAAGGGGGAAACAGAAGGTGAGAAGAGAGCTTGTAGGGGTGGGCTTGGGGAGAAGGAGGACAATGAGACAGCCTGGTGGATTATGTATGCTGGGAGGAGGTTCATGGAATCACTAGGGGTTCTACAGGATCTGGTTGAACAGGCTCTAGCCCCTGGACACAGGGCTTCTCTTGATACTGGAAATGGTATCAACAGTGACA